GGCCTCAAGCTGGCCACGCTCAGCCTGCTGCTGTGCGTTAGCCTCGCGGGCAACGTGCTGTTCGCGCTGCTGATCGTGCGGGAGCGCAGCCTGCACCGCGCCCCGTACTACCTGCTGCTCGACCTGTGCCTGGCCGACGGGCTGCGCGCGCTCGCCTGCCTCCCGGCCGTCATGCTGGCGGCGCGGCGGGCAGCGGCCGCCGCGGGGGCGCCGCCGGGCGCGCTGGGCTGCAAGCTGCTCGCCTTCCTGGCCGCGCTCTTCTGCTTCCACGCCGCCTTCCTGCTGCTCGGCGTGGGCGTCACCCGCTACCTGGCCATAGCGCACCACCGCTTCTACGCCGAGCGCCTGGCCGGCTGGCCGTGCGCCGCCATGCTGGTGTGCGCCGCCTGGGCGCTGGCGCTGGCCGCGGCCTTCCCGCCCGTGCTGGACGGCGGCGGCGGCGACGACGAGGACGCGCCGTGCGCCCTGGAGCAGCGGTCCGACGGCGCCCCCGGCGCGCTGGGCTTTCTGCTGCTGCTGGCCGTGGTGGTGGGCGCCACGCACCTCGTCTACCTCCGCCTGCTCTTCTTCATCCATGATCGCCGCAAGGCCCCCGCCCCCAGCCACGACTGGACCTTCCACGGCCCCGGTGCCACCGGCCAGGCGGCCGCCAACTGGACGGCGGGCTTCGGCCGCGGGCCCACGCCGCCCGCGCTCGTGGGCATCCGGCCGGCCGGGCCCGGCCGTGGCGCGCGCCGCCTCCTCGTGCTCGAGGAGTTCAAGACAGAGAAGAGGCTGTGCAAGATGTTCTATGCCGTCACGCTGCTCTTCCTGTTCCTCTGGGGGCCCTACGTCGTGGCCAGTTACATGCGGGTCCTGGTGCGGCCCGGCGCTGTCCCCCAGGCCTACCTGACGGCCTCCGTGTGGCTGACCTTCGCGCAGGCCGGCATCAACCCCGTCGTGTGCTTCCTCTTCAACAGAGAGCTCAGGGACTGCTTCCGAGCCCAGTTCCCCTGCTGCCAGAGCCCCCAGGCCACCCAGGCCACCCTCCCCTGCGACTTGAAAGGCATCGGTTTATAAGTGGCTCTCCCTTCACCTGCTCCGCAACCCGGCCTCTCCCTTTGGCTTGGACAGTGATGTCTTTTCTCCCCCTTCTGCCCCCATTTTAATTTTCTGAGCTGCCTTCAAAACGGCTCTCGAAGTGCATCATCACTAGGATTGTACAGACTCCTTTTGGGGGGAGGGTTTCGAAGTCCCAGCCCCACCCCAGCTCCTTGCGATTGTTCTCCTAAATATATTTTCATCCTGACAGCAGGCCCTGGAGTCTTTGTACTGGCACTGATGTCTTTTATTCCATGAGTTACTCTCTCTCTTTTTTTTTTTTTTTCAATAAAGGCTAAACTAATTTTTTTCATGCAACCTTTCCTAAAGACCATGGCCAGTTTTCTACAGAAGCTATTTTTGACAACCTCAAGTGGCATTACATTTTGCATTGAGGTAGAGGAACCCAGGGGGACTTCACGAGTTTGATTTCTTGAGGGTCTTCTGTTGGCAGCAGGAGAAAGAGAGAAAGTTGTCTCAAGTTCCCTCTGAATTGCCATCGGTGGGGTCAGTTGGACTGCTGTGGTTCTTTGAAGGCGTTGAGAATTTTGTTCAGTATTGATATTGAATTTAAAGAGCAGAAATGGGAACGAGTAGCAAGGCAGTCATTTTTAATCAGTAACAAGTAACACAAGATTTGTTTCCTACCTTGCTTTATACTACTGGGAAATGCCCGTCAGTGACAACTGCTCTTTGTATCATACCAATCTTGAGTGGAAACATTTCTGTAAAACTGTACCTTTCAAAAGAGTAAAAAGTGTTTTGGTTAGTAATGGTGTGGGGAAAATACAGTATTGCATGTTTTTGTATGTACTGATTGTGGTTCACGGATTGGGAGGGCTCACAGAGACAAGCAGAGTGCTAAATCAAAACTGATAAGGTATTTTTTGCCAATAAAAATTAAAATAATTTTAGGGGAACAGTTTGTGCTTTGAAGAGCCCAGTTTTATTCTGTCTTATGAAACTAATTGCCACTTTGAAAATTGTTATTCTTTTGTTCATGGTATAAATGGATGGAATATAATGATACTCTACTTCTATGAGACAAAGCATTTCCTTAAAATGTTTGCTAGGTTAAGCTGTGCTGTTCTTCTGATGGTTATTTTAAATTAATAATGAGAACTGTAATTTTAAGTACTATTTCTTTGTTAGACACGTTGTAACCTTAAGTTGAAAGACTAAATTCTGCAAGTACTGTATTTTTTCGCTTATAATGCTACATTTTTATTAACGTATCTTCCGTTTTGAGGATTTATATCTGTATTTCTCTTTGCATTATATAAATATACCAGTATTTTCATTTTGGAGTGGGTTTTTGTTCCTGTTGTTGTTTGAGACTGTGACAGGTGGTAATATGCGTCTAAGGTACTCATGTTTTTATTATCCTTTTAGTGCATGCTGTTTAGCTGACCATAATTTCTAAGACATTTGGAGGCTTGTTAACTTAAAATGCAAGATAAAAAATCTGCAGATCTTCTCTTCAAGGGAAGAATCAGTATGTATATATACCTGCTTCAAAACTTTTTAATGAACATATAAAACATGAATGTAAGCAAAGTAACCATTTTGATAAAATAATAATTAAAGTGGGTACAGTAAATATATTGAAATTTGAGTTGTGCATAATATAAACTATTAAATATTCAGTCCAAGATGGATAAGTCATAATAAGAGGGTGTGGCCAATTTATCGCAGGTGAATGGTCAGCATTATTTTATTTTGTCCGTAAATGTCAATCAGTCTATGCAGACAGTCTCCTATTTGGAAAGTACGAGTAACTATCAGCCTGTTTCTCCCCAGATCATACGACCGGGTAGACATTGATTATCCAGGGGCCATTCATCAGAAACCTTAGCTTATCTAAAGACAGGCCCAGGAAGTAAATCTCTCCTCATGCAACATCACCCCCACCGGCCACAAGTGATCCAAGTTCAAAAAATAGAAGTCACTAAGCCTATGTGATGGTCAGAATTTTTAGCACCTGCCATGGCATAGGAACTAGGCTGTCAGGGCTAACTCCTGTTTTTTTGTTTTGCTTTGTTCTGACTGGATGGGGCATTTCTAATGAGAATTCAAGTGACAAGTAATGAGAAGTGACGGCCAACTGTAAAGGAAAAAGAAGAACCGAGAGATGCAGAGGAACTATAGCTGTCCAGAGGAATACTGTGCAGGAACAAAACTCCCCTTGCACCTCAACAGCTACTTTCATCACTGAATTTATTAGCCTGTACTTTGATTGTTAATTATATTAATAAAGAATCATCAAGAGAAGGTTACTTGTATTTCAGAATACTCTATTTCTTGTACCAGGGCAGGAACAATGTATTTGGGGAAGACTTCCATTAAAATAGCTCATTTTCTGTCATTGACAAGTTAATTTAGCACAACTCCTCCGTCACTTCTCCCCAGGTGAAATTAATGGCTTATGTCTATACTTGAAGCAAAAGAAAATAGATTGCTTGTCTATAAATCTCTGCATGTCCTGGCATGGAATTATTGGGTCAAAAATGAGAATTTTTAGGTCTTTTGACACCATATGTCGAATCGCTTTGCAGAAAGACTTATATCTACTTTTAGATTTCCACCTGACCATGTTCATTTTTTACAAATTGAAATATCTCAAAGTGGGGAGGCGAATAACAAATCAGTAACCATAATGATGAAGAATAACCTCCATATGCACCATTCAGCCTTGCCAGATCTTGTCAGTCTTGCCATATTGGTTTCTACCTTTCCTTTTTTCTTTCCTTTTCCTTTCTTCCCTTTTTCCTCTTCTTTCTTCCCTTCCTCCCTCTCTTATTCCTTCTCTCCCTCCTTTCCTCTTCTATTTTCTTCCTTCCCTTTCTCTTTCTTCCTTTCTTTCTCCCTCTTTTGAAAGAAAAAAATACAACACAATCATTTCTGCCAAGGCTTTGGGCTCACCATCAGCCATCTACATTTTCAAACGCCCTGCCCCTAAGAGGTAACAGGGTCCCAGGTCCAGGTGCTGAGTCAGGATGGATCATTGGGTTGGCAAGATTGGTTCTACCCTTCACTGTCTTTCCATGACCCATTCAAGTGCAAAATTCTGGTTTGCCACAGAAGGCCTTTTATGGTCCGGCTCCTCCACCACCCTGGCCTCATCTTCCCCTTATATTTCCATCTCTCCCTTCTCTGGTTACCTTTGTATAAGCTCTCCCTGGAAAGCCCGTCCCCCTCCTCTGCCTGGGGAATCCCTCACCAACTCCTCTAGAGCAGAGGCAATATTCACAATATGTAATAACTGGGATGACACGGGCATAACTAACCTGTACAGCTGTGCCCCTGGGTCTTGGCTGAACATCAGGTTTGTGCTGGACTCAGATCCAAGACTTCTGGAAGGTCTTCTTGGCCCAGTCACCCCTCTGCTGGGCTCGCACGGTGCACACCTGGGCTCCTGGCTCCTGCGCTGCTCTCACATCCTCCCACTCCCTACTCAGGCTCTGTGCTCCAGCCACTGCAAGTCACCGGCAGTGCCCTGAACAGACCATACTGGGTCACACCAACATGCCTTTGCTGCGTTGTTTCTTGCGTCCAAAGTCCTTACCTCCTCTTTTCCCAACTCAACCGCTGTTAAGCTTTCAAACATACAGGCTGAACTCTTAGACATAAAGGGTGAACTAACCTCTACAGAGAAGGGGAGATTGTCCCCGTGCAGGTCCTGAAAAATTTCCAAGTCTCCACACACAGTCATTAGATCTGAGTGCCACGGTGGGCTGAGTAGCAGGCTTACTGGCATTTCAAGTTGTCCGTGAACTGAGAGGGCTGAGGTTGTAAAATGCAGCAGACTCAAAACACTGTTCTCCATTCACCTGGCAGAGGTGCCACTCTGTGTGACCCTCCAAGACCACTGGACTTCAAGACCCCCTCTGTGAGAGGCAAAGGAGGTAATGGGAAACTGTCTCCACCCATCCATATTCTAGACCCATATAATTATCCTTTGCATTGTTTATTAGCTGTTTCTCGAGTAAACAAAATTAAAAGCAAACTTGATCTGAGTCCACGGGGTTCTTTATGCTTTTTCTCCAACTTGGACAAGACTTTTGGGATCTACCTCAGCCTAAGAACAGAGCCCTCTTGCCCTCCCTTTTCCTTCCTTTTGGGATATTTTTGATGAGGCTGTAATGCTTGGAGCCACAGCAGCCATCTTGCAACCATGAGAAGAGATACTGTCAACATGGTGAAAATAGCAGACCAGAAAGATAAAAAGAGCAGACATCTGTTTTAACATTGTTGATCTACTTACCCAAACATGCAACCTCATATCTCTAGATTTTAGATTTCTCGTCTTGAAATAAAAACTGCTATTGCTTCAGGCACTAATATTCAGAAAGCCTGTTATTTGAAGCAACAATTAACTGCAACAATACTTAAAACAAGTCCATCCTCTCCACTCCCTTGACAGATATGCCTGATATGCTGGAACTGTAGTCACAAGTTTTTAAAAATTAGGCTTATTTATTAATTCAATTCACATTTCCAGTTATCAGATCATTCAGCCGGCTGTTAACTGTTAGATAAACCTGGCTCTGGAAAAAAAATAATAAAATAGATTTGACTTGATTTCTTAGATGGAAATAAATCTAGAAGGTTTTTTTAAAATAACTATTACAAGGCTGGTTCTATTTAATTGCACTTTATAAAAATGGTTACCATGATCAGTGTATTTTTAAGCTTTTAGTATGATAAATTTAGCTATAGATATCTGGAAAACCACCTGAATGAATCCACCTTATCCATAGGTATTTTTTTTTATAAGTTTAATTTTATTGTTTTACAAGAATGACTGAAGCAGCCAGGATTCTTTTTGTTTTTGTTTTTGTTTTTGTTTTACATCTTTATTGGAGTATAATTGCTTTACAACGGTGTGTTCGTTTCTGCTTTATAACAAAGTGAATCAGTTATACATATACATATGTTCCCATATATAAGTTTAATTTTATTGTTTTACAAGAATGACT